TACATTTAAACAAACAAGCAAACAAATATTTTAAGGGAAAAAAGCCTTCAGCTGTTTAAGAAATATTTCCTTAAACTTATATGAAAAAAATAATATCAAGAAAAAAACACGTCTTGAGGGTTTTGAGATCTTGAGAAACCCGAAAAAAATATGTGTCCAGTATTTGACTAGTATCGTTCATGTTTTATACGCATCAATGCAATGCTATTTCATATCAGCAATGTCTGATATTTGCAAGTCCACGTTGCAGAGGTATACAAAGATACATTCGAAAGTTCAAACGAGTCTCAGTGACTTTTTTCCTCATTGGTAACATCACATCCCGATCTCCATCTGCACCACGGACACCCCAGGCGGAGCCTCCGCCACCTTCTTCCCCCGGTACACCAGCTTGGCCAGGTTCCGGATGGACGGAGTGGTTCTAAACAGCAGTTTCTTGAGGCCGGTCCGGTACTCCCGGCGGATCAGACAGTATAGCACCGGGTTCAGGCAGCTGTTGGTGTGCGCCAGGCACACAGTGATGGGGAACGCGTAGGCCTGCGCGTTGTAAAACGCGTTACTGAATGGCACCAGGTCAAATTTGATGAGTACCCCCCAAAGGGTCAGCGCCTGGTTGGGCAGCCAGCACAGAAAGAACGATAGAACCACGATGGTGACCGATCTGGTGACTTTGGAACGGCGCTTGTGCCGCCCTCTCTCGCTCTCCGAGCCAGGAATTCCACTGACGCGCCGCCGCAGAACGAAGCGCAGCAGGAGGAGGTAACAAACGCAGATGATGACCAGCGGAATCACAAAGCCCAGAAGTACCTTCTGGGTTTGATAGAGACCCAGAAGCAGCTGCGGGTCCCAGTTACCGGAATCCGAGAAGCGGACGAGGCACAGCTCGTCGTCGGACACCTGCGCCGTGGTGGAGTAAACCGCGTGAGGAATGGTGGCCACCACGGACACGATCCAGATTCCCAAACTGGCCCACTTGACCTCAGCCGAGGCCGTTTTGGGACTTTGCATCCGTAGGGATGAGGACAGGGAGCAGTAGCGCGCAACGCTCATGGCTGTCAAGAAGAACACGCTCGCGTACATGTTCATGGTGGTGACCGAGCTGATAATCTTGCACATCACCTTTCCAAACGGCCATCTGAAGTCCAAAACGGTGTCCACTGCCCAGAACGGAAGAGTCAGGACGAACTGCAGGTCTGTCACGGCTAAACTCATGACGAAGCAGTTGATGGACGACTGCTTGAGTCTGTGGCGCGACTGGAGCAGGTAAAGCGCCAGCAGGTTCCCGACGAGCCCCAGCGCGCACACGATCAGGTAGACGAGCGCGATCACGACGCGCATGGCCATGCTCGAGCTGTCGACGTAGAGCTCCGGCGCGGACTCTTTAGAGAGCAGCTGCAGCCAGCAGCGGAGCGACAGGTTGTGGAGAGCGGTCCGGTTCGACAGCGCATCGCCCTCGTCCAGTGCCGGACCGCACGCCGCTAAACCCGGTGCCAACGCGCTGCTGTTCACCTGCATGGCACGGCTTTACGCACCCATACAATTCCGTGTATATAAACAACACCTCTATGAACTGGTTTTATTTTAAAAAAAAAATAAAAATAATAATAATATATATATATGCAGAGAAAAAAATTATTCTCTCATGCATGTGATTGTCATTAAATTATCACATAATGATTATAATTATTATTATAATTATATTTTTTCTTTAACGCTACACTGTTATATTACTTTTGTCCCTCTAGCGGTTGAAGCAATTACAACTACCCTGCGGAGGAACATTGTTTTGGTCATTACATTGTTTTGGTCATTATGTGAGTTGCGCTTCGTCTCCGCTATTCTGTGAGGATGAATCTAATGGCTCGAAGTGGATGATCGCATTCAGTGTGGATGTCATTAACGACATCAAAACTCTCCAGAGAAAGACGGATATCTGGAAAATATGCTTTATGAGCAGGTAAGCAGCTGATATACCTTTGTTGCTTTGACTTGTTGAAATCAATTGTTTTAAAATTACGTTACAAAAGTTTGGCAACGCCATATGGTTGCTATTAATATCAGATAACCGTGGAAACAATAATTGGCAAAGCTATTTATAGTCAAATAGACCAAAATTTTAACTGGATTAGGAACTTGCATTGTTACCAACATAAAAGTTGTTTGTGAATCTCCTCAATGCATAGCAAATGCTCTGCATGTTGATTCCTGTGTTTTCTTTTATTTACGGATATGATGTAAACAGGATCAAGGAAAGTATGTAGTTTCTTTAAATGCTGTCTTACATATTAAGATTGCTCTTCTTTCTTGCATATGTGGACTTACGAGCCGGCAGCCATATCACCCTGTAGCCCAAGACTGGTTGCCCACTGAAGCTAAGCAGGGCTGAGCCTGGTCAGTACCTGGATGGGAGACCTCCCGGGAAAACTAGGTTGCTGCTGGAAGAGGTGGTAGTGAGGCCAGCAGGGGGTGCTCACCCTGTGGTCTGTGTGGGTCCTAACGCCCCAGTATAGTGACGGGGACGCTATACTGTCAACAAGCACCTTCCTTCAGATGAGACATTAAACTGAGGTCCTGACTCTCTGTGGTCATTAAAAATCCCAGGATGTCTTTCGAAAAGAGTAGAGGTGTGACCTCGGCATCCTGGCCAAATTTGCCCATTGGCCTCTGATCATCATGGCCTCCTAACAATCCCCATATCTACTGATTGGCTTCATCACTCTGTCTCCTCTCCACCAATGTGACACTCTATTTACGTTGTTAATTTAGATATTTTTATACAATTGTGATATCACAGTTTCCCCCACCAAAAACAATGTTGCTTTCTGGAGGATGCTGTCATGAATTGACTTATTTTTAATTGCTGTGAAGATAAATCTTGTTTTTAATAAAAACAAGTTTATTAGAGAAAAGAATACAAATTAAAAAGTGCCTGAAATATTTCTGTTAGTGAAGCAGAAGAAAACGTTTCAAATCTTAATTGTAATAAAAGCAAACTAATACGTATGATTTCCATCTTTAGATAACTTAAACTTTAAAACATTCTATTCCTCTGAGAAGTTTTTTTTAAAGGCATGAGTGAGATGGTGCCTGAGTTCTGTTGAGTTTGCTGGCCATCAGCATTTGCATGTAAAAATGGGTCAGTATTCAGACTTCACACGGCGTTAAAGAGAGAGATCAGAGCAGGCACTGATTCTCGCACACATTCAGCTGTTCTTTCTGTTCTCCTGCTCAACTCGGCTCTTTGAGGAAGGGTCTATAATCCAGAACATGCTACTCGCCCTGGGCTCTGAGAGACAGTGATTGATCATGGTAGAGTTAGAGGGTCAGTCGACTTTTCCTCAAGACGAGTGATGTGTTAATTGAGTTCATTCCAGGACAACTGGCTTCCACTGTACAGATTCTGAGATACTTAGTCGGGGATTTAGTCCAGATAAACACTACTGATGTGCATCATACAACTAGTCAAGATATATTGAGGAATGTGAACAGGATCCTAATAAAAAATCAAAAGATCCGTCAGACCTAAGTATGTATCAGTCTTTGCTTTCATCTTTCTCTGCTGAAGTCCATACTGCTAAATCTTCATACTTCCACAACAAGATCAACAGCGCTCCAGACACACGTAATCTCTTCAAAACTTTCCATTCTCTCCTCTGTCCCCCTCCACCACCTCCTACCACTTCTATAACAGCTGATAATTTCGCCACATTCTTCACAGACAAAACCAGAACAATCAGTAGTCAATTCTCAGCCCCACACACACAGGACTTCAAACCAACCACACCCACTGCAAAAACTCCCATCTTCTCCTTCTGCCCAATTGTAAGTCGCTTTGGATAAAAGCGTCTGCTAAATGACTAAATGTAAATGTAAATGTAAATGATCATTCAAAAGGATCCTAATGGGATCAAACAAGAATCCTCTAAGTATCAAATTGGAACTGGATAATTATTACTTTTAAAAGTTATTAATCAGTGGGCGTTTTTATAATTCCAAAATATGATAACTTATAATATATATTATTGTATTATTATTAAATGTTGAAGGAGAAACATGTGGCGCACAAATGAGCCAAAACCTCCAAGATTTAGATTAGTTTGTTTTTTCATAGCATTGAATCACTTGCTCACCAATGGATGCTCTGCAGTGAATGGGTGCCGTCAGAATGAGAGTCCAAACAGCTCATAAAAACATCACAATAATCCACAAGTAATCCACACACTCTTGTGAAGTGAAAAGATGGGCGTTTGTAAAAAACAAATCCATCATTAAAAGTTTTTCTTTTTTCTTTATTTATTTTTACTTCAAACTGACACTAATACTACTCCATAATGTTGCTTTCTTCAGTAAAAAAAAAAAAAGTAATCTTGCCTGAATCAGGAGAGAAATTTGCCCAGATCAAACACGTTTACAAGTGAAAACTGTCCAAAAACAGTATTTCGACTTGGATTTTGATGCGGGAGGACAATGAGGGTGGACTTTTTGTCTGGATTATGGACTTGTATTTTGGCTGAAAGTGTACTAGACCTATATTTGCATTGGAGTTTTAAATTCCTGAAAGACTTGTGCATGATTTTAAACTAGGAGCTTTTATTTGGAGAGACTGTGCGTTTGGTTATTTGTGTCTGATATGAAATGAGACTGCATACTTCTACCGATGAAAAGATGAATGAATAACTTCTAAAGATGGAAACCTTTGTATTATAACTTTTAACTAAATAAACAGACCTCTAAAAACTTCTGCGAAATTGAAATATATATATATTATATATTTAAT